AAAATGAGGGCAGTGAGCCTGCTCACTACGGAGGAACTTTGCCTCTCAGCTGTCACAGTAATGTGTAAAATGAGGGCAGTGAGCCTGCTCACTACAGAGGAACTTTGCCTCTCAGCTCTCACAGTAATGTGTAAAATGAGGGTAGTGAGCCTGCTCACTACAGAGGAACTTTGCCTCTCAGCTGTCACAGTAACATGTAAAATGAGGGCAGCTTACCACATGTTTTCACAGTTTTTAAATGGTGATGGTGAAATGAGGCTTCGTGAAGCACTGGGGCTTTCCGGCCAAATGTTTCACTGAAAGGTTCCTTACTTTAAGCCTCATTTAACAGCGTACAGTAATGATACCTACTGGTGAATATAATAATGATAGAAATAGGGCTTCTGAGTGACAGAGACAATTGAAAATATCGATTTGGAAACAGTTGTAATCTTTCAAAGCATTCAAACCATTGTTTCACAGAAACAAGTAGTGGCAAAATGGGCACTGTCTTGGAGAAATGTGCAACTGCATACAGTTACGTTAAAGTTTTTGTATAATTCTATTGCTGTCATCATTTTTATATTTAAAAATTATAAGTTATTTAAAAAAAAAAAAAGACAATGAAGTGTTCAACTGTGCTTGAGCTGGGACCAAATGGAGGAAAACAAATGAAACGGTATGAGTTTATGAGGCCCTGTTCAGAGACGTCACCTGACTTTGTCATTTTGTTAAGGATTTTGGGATAACATTTAGGTACAGAATTATCGCAAAGGTTTTCAAACATTTCGATGCACTGTTTCGAGTTTGCCATTACTAGGCTAATATATACGTATAACGTACTCCTCAAAAATCTCAGCTTGCAATAGTGACCTCTTCAACACAACACTCAAAATCCTCAAACCAACCAATATTACTCACACGCAGAGTTTCACTTCTACAATTCGAAACTTAGGATGTCCTACTGGGTTTCACAGCTCATCATCAATCACCTAAATTTTTCAGAATGATTCAAGCATCGAAGCGAGGCTGCAGCAGACACACCCTTTCATACTCAATACACACTTCAAAGCCTTGGTTTCTAACCTAACATCACTCCCTTTAACTCTCTAAGAAAGCCAGAGGGCTTAACTGCAGATACAATGCTCACGGAAATTCTTGGGATGCTTGCTTAATTTAATAAAAATATTGCATTTTTTGGTTTAATAAGAAAAATCATTACTTTATTCATTTGTTTACCAAAACATTGATTTTAAGTAGTAATAAATTGAAACCCAAATTATAGTTCTGAGTTAAAAAGTTAATTGACAAGCAGTCCCATTGGGTGCTTTTTAACTAGTAACACCTTTGCAATAACATAAAATACCAAGCATTTGTGTTTAGTATCTCTTTGGGAGCCAATGACTACAACTGCAATTAATTGCAAAATGGCAACTGAATGAATCAGTCAAAAACATTATGACATATAAAAAAAGAAAATGTTTGTGTGGAAGATATGTGCACATATGTTAAACATTGCTTGCCAAAGAACTTTTGTTGTGAAACCAACAAACTTGCTACATTTTTACAGAATTAAGTAATCGTCCCTAGGCTTTCTGTGAGGACTGAACATTCAGCAGTTGTCCCTTATAAAGGCTCAAGGGCGCAATTATTTTAACTGAACACAAGGTGGGGCTGCAGCACTGAAAAAACGAACAGAAGTGTGGCACCATGGAAGAGATAGAGGCGGTAGGGCAGAGACCTAAAGGAGTCAGAACAAGCCATAGTAAAACCTCACCCTTTCATCATCGGCCAGGGCAATGCAGGGGTCAGTACAGGGGTCACAGGGCATTTCAGTAGGGGGTGTCTCGCTTTGCCCCTGATCCAGTAAGCCTGAGCTAAAACAGCCCCACTGTGTTTCCTTATAGCAGACGAAAAGCATTTATCTTTAAGGGAAATAGACACTCAGTGGCATTCAAAGGACATGACACCTCACCCCTGGAGAACCTTTCAAAAGGATTTTTTCCCTCTCAATAATACAGTGTGAAAAGTATTGATGATGAATTTTTTAAGTAGTTAGCTTACTTTACAGGTCAAAGCTCCCCAACAATACAGTAAATGAATGATTAATTAATACTAATTAAAATAAATGACAACCTTTTATTTTATACTTTATAGTACACAGACAAACTAGAGGCATAGAGGTGACATGTTTAATTTAACTATTTATGCATATAAATAAACGTATATATTTGCGGTGCCTGTCCTAGCTCATGCCACACCCTGGATTAGCATCACGAAACAATCATGTTTTGTCAGCCCTATTAATATTCTTTACCTTTTTTGAAATGTTGGTGTTCTTGTCCCTATATCAGTTACAATGTTTTTCTTCGGTCACACCATGCTAACCTATCAGGGTCATCGAAACCAGTCCCCTCCCCCTACAGTGCGGTGCCCTCCATCCACGTGAAACTGGCTGGAAAGTCAGTGTCTTCTCAGATCCTGGCACCCTAGATCACACAGCTGTTCCTTGCTGGTACAGTAGAGGGCACAAATACTTCTAGGGGTGCCCAACATCACATAGCTGTTCCATACTGTTACAGCAGAGGGCCAGAACACATGTAGAGGCACCCCATTTCACGTAGCTGTTCTGTACCAACACTGCAGTGGATGTGAGTACATATAGGGGCGCCCCATTTCAGGTAGCTGTTCTGTACCAACACTGCAGTGGGTGTGAGTACATCTAAGGGCGCCCCATGTCACGTAGCTGTTCTGTACCAACACTGCAGTGGATGTGAGTACATATAGGGGCGCCCCATGTCACGTAGCTGTTCTGTACCAACACTGCAGTGGGTGTGAGTACATCTAAGGGCGCCCCATGTCACGGAGCTGTTCTGTACCAACACTGCAGTGCGTGTGAGTACATCTAGGGGCAGGGACATTGTATCCTGACAGGGTAATCCCATAGTACAGCATCACCACCTGTTCAGCCCATGCATATTTCATGAGGCACCCCCTGTCTGTCGCCTCGCACGCTGACACCTGAGCGCAGGGGACTTGCCTGGAGGAGTGAGCGCACGCAGATAGCCAGGTACTCGAGGTCCCTCCCTTACACAGCTGTCATCGTTCACCCGGCCACACAGAGGAGAGTGAAGCCTCACCGGTCTCACAATCAACATCGATGAGCTTGTCCAGGAAGTCTCTGAAGGAGCCGACACTGCTCAGGATGACAGGGTGCAGTGGGGCCATCCACTGCTCCTTCCCCTGGCCGAGCTGGAGACCCAGGTTACCAACACTCTGCACAGCCTGTCGGGTGGGGTGCAGTCAAAGAAGAGGGGGGAGAACATGAGGGAGAAGGAGGGAATGGGAGGAACAGGTTGCAGTGGAGAGAGAGGGAGAGACAGGGGGAGTAAGAAAGGGAGGGAGAAGGAGGGAAAGAAGGAGAGAAGGGGGAATGAAAGGGAGAGAGAGGGAGAAACAGTGGAGGCAGGTATCAGGGAGAGAGAGTGAAGGGGAATGAAAGGGAGAGAGAGGGAGAAAGGGTGGAAGGAGGTATCAGGGAGAGAGGGGGGAATGAAAGGGAGAAAGATGGAGAAAGGGCGGAGGGAAGTATCAGGGAAAGAGAGAGAGAAGGGGAATGAAAGGGAGAGAGAGGGAGAGGGAGAAAAAGTGGAGGGATGTATCAGGGAAAGAGAGAGAGGGAATGATAGAGAGGGAGAAAGGATGGAGGGAGGTCTCAGGGAGAGAGAGTGAGGGAGAATGAAAGGGAGAGAGAGGGAAAAAGGGTGGAAGGATATATCAGGGAAAGAGGGGGGGGATGAAAAGGAGAGAGATGGAGAAAGGGTGGAGGGAGGTATCATGGAAAGAGAAAGACAGAATGTAAGGGGGAGATTGAGAGAGGGAGAAAAAGTGGCAGGAGGTATCAGGGAAAGAGAGAGGGAATGAAATGGAAGATGAGGGAGATTTATTTATTACTCCCTCACACACACACAGATTTGTAGTTATATTTTTGTGGGGATTCTCCATTCATTTCTATGGGGAAAACTCAACATGGCCACCGTAGCCCCTAACGTTGCCCTTAAGTAACCAAACAAAATCCAAGACTTCTGGCATTTTTAGTTTTTTGATTTCATTCATATATTTTCATAGGAACCTGAAAAATGGTCCCCACACCATTAAAATAACAGGGTATCATCACACTGTGGGGGACATTTGGTCCCCACAATATAATATAAATCTAATCCACACACACACACACAAACCCTACATCTGTCCTGCTTCCTGTTAAAGTTGCACATCTGATGTAATGCTACACTGACCACATGCCCCCGCCCCCCCTCCAAAAGAGCTGCTGGGCCACTGTGGGCCTCCCAAACCCCACTTTGAAGTTGCTGCTTTCCACAGATCATGCCGACGGCTTCCTTTGTCCCTGGCAAACCTGGCTCTGTGTCGAGAGGTGTGGATGGGAGCAAAGCTCCACTTCACCCTCCGACAAACAGCCAACCACACCTGGGGGGGTCAGTCCGGTTAGTGGGCAGGCCTGGGGGGCAGGAGAGAGCCCAGGTGTAGCAGCAGGACAGCTGCTGTGGGGGAGGCCGGTGATGTGTGCCAGTGTGCGGCAGGTGTGTGCGAGGGCACACGTGAGAACACGAACGAGGGAACATGTGAGGATGATACAAGGGTGGTGCGAGGGTGTGTATGAGGGCGCATGTGAGGGTACATGAGAGAGCACGTGTGTGGGCAGTGCAACCAGGTATGAGGCTGCTTGTGAGGGTGGTATGAGAACACATGTGTGGGCAGTGCAACCAGGTATGAGGCTGCTTGTGAGGGTGGTGTGAGGACACGTGTGAGAGTGTGTTTGAGGGCAGTGCATACTTGGTGTGAGCATGATGTGAGGACAAGAATGAGGGTAAGTGTGAAGGCACGCATGAGGGCACACAGAGCAGTGTGAGGGCACGTGCAAGTATGGTGCAAGAATGTGTGTGAGGTCACGTGTGAGGGTGCGTGCCAGGGCACTGTTAGGGCACATGGGAGGGTGAAGGTGTATGAGGGTGGTGCAAGCGTGCGTGCGAGTGTGAGGGTGTGCACCTTGGCCAGCAGCAGCAGCGTGCGACCAGTGCGTGCATCCGCATGTCGCTCTCGCAGGTGGAACAACTTCGGCGTCAGGATGGCAGGAGCCACGAAGCGCAGGAAGAGGAAACCGCCAATGGCCAGATACTTCACATCCTGGGGGACAGACAGGATAAGCCTGAACCAGACAGAACAAATCCATGCAGAGGACATACAGGCCACAAAATCACACAGGCCACGTTCATCCCTGTCCATAAAGGAGATGCAGTTTCAGCGGTGAGTTGTTCCTATCTTGCCATCTGGTGGCGTGTGCTGCTGAGGGATGTTAAGATGGCATCTCATGCATGATGCATGTTCCTGTGTGACAGTGTGTGTCTTTGTGCCCGTGCGAGGACCTCCTTGTGCTCTTCCTGCATGTTTATGGCCGCACCGCTCACTACCTCGTGTTCAGGCCCTGGGAATTGTTCCTCCACACGCTTGTGCAGCTGCTTGAAGACGACACGCATCACGATGGGGCACTGTGCCAGAGAGCCGATGATGGCATCCATGATGGCCAACAGGTAGCCCTGCAGGACTTCCACGCTGCTCTCAAGCACCTCTGCCTCGGAGACCACACCCTTGAAGGAGATCCGCCTGGGGGGGTGTTTATTTTAAAAGGCTGAAAGGACCCAGTTTATTGAATTTGAATTCAGATGATGGGGGAGCAAGTAAAGGAGGGAACGTCAGTCTGAATGAGGAGCTGTGTGTGTAGATGAGCTCTTTGCAGTTCTGTAGCCTGGTTTACTGCTCCCTGAATATTCTCAGGCTGCTCGCTTTGAAATGCAGGTACCTGTCATCGTCACACAGCAGCTACACGTAGTTGCTTAGCAGTATACCATGACTTAAGTGTGTTACTATCTAAAGAGGGTCTGGGCTGGTTGCTAAGCAACTATTCTCCTACACTCACTTTCTCTCCATCACTCAGAGCCTTAGTAACGCCTACAGGTATGGCAGAGTCACTCAGAGGTTCACTAATGCCTGAGGGCATGGCACAGAGTCACTTAGAGTCTCACTAATGCCTGAGGGCATGGAAGAGTCACTCTGAAGTTCGCTATCAACTTAGAGCATGGTGGAATTGCTCAGAGCCTTGCTAATGCCTTAGGGCATAGTAGAGTCCCTCAGAGCCTCGCTGACACCTGTGAGCACGGCAGAGTCACTCAGAGGCTTGCTAGCACCTGAGGGCACAGCAGAGTTGCTCAGAGGTTCTCTAACACCTGAGGGCACAGGAGATTCACTCACAGGCTCGCTATGGCAGAGTCATTCAGAGGTTCCCTAGCACCTGAAGGCATGTTAGAGGCTCGCAAGCACCTGAGGGCACGTTAGAGTCACTCAGAGGCTCCCTATGGCAGAGTCACTCAGAGGCTCCCTATGGCAGAGTCACTCAGAGGCTCACTTGCACTTGAGGGCATGGCAGAGTCACTCAGAGGCTTGCCAGCACCTGAGGGCACAGCAGAGTTGCTCAGAGGTTCTCTAACACCTGTGGGCATGGTAGAGTCACTCAGAGGCTTGCTATTGTCTGTGGCTGTGGGTAAAGCAGAGTCAGTCAGGGGTTTGTTAACGCTTGTCGCAGTGGTTGCAGCAATCTGTCCATCTTATCAAAGATAGCTGTCCCAAAGCTTAAGAAAAACATATAAACAAAATTGATAGCAACAAAAAACAACTCAGAAAAGTAAACTTATCACCCTCTGTTGACATTGTCACTGTTTCTATGCGACAAGAAGTTGTCATGGGCAACCATCATATTTATATACGCAGTGTAGCATTTGCAGCATACAGTGTGTGGGTGGGAAGAGACCTTCACGTCAGGAGGACACAAACACACATGTAATCAGAGGCTGCATACTGCCTGATTCATAGATCAGGACACACACATACTGAGCCATGTGTACGGAATTTTCATGCAGATAGACGGATTAAAAAAAAAAAGCATTATTGGGTGGAGTTTCACTTTTGGTACACTCAGGTTTCTGTGCTGTATTTTGATTGTTCCTGCCACAAACCAAACCCTGTCATCATCAGAGGAGGAACAGGTTGAAAAGCTCCACTTCAAAAGCTGCCCCATAACCCCGCCTCCCACACTTCCTCTCCCCTGATTGGCTGAGTGCGAGTAAAACATCTACCTGGTTCGATTCAGTTCGATTTTGCATGGGTCCAGTTCAACGTACTTCTTCTCCTCAAAGATCCGGTTGAGGACAGGTTTTAGCACCTTGTGTAGGTACAGCATGCCAACGGCCTGTGGGGCAGAGCAGGTGTGAGTGTGAGACATGGGAAGCCCCATGCAAATGGGGAGCGGAATAACGGGATACACACCTTCATGAACTGCTCCATGGCTTTGGAGGCCAGTGAATTGGAGCGGAACAGAGTGTTGGGGTCAGCTGGGGGTGGGAGATAGACAAGGAGAGAGCGTCAGTGGACAGGCTTCAGGTGTTTCACGTATTTGGTTTCAAACGGGCCGCAGTGCAGCTGGCAGGAGCTGCAGGATTCTCTGAAGGGGTCGGGGTACACTTAGCTATAGCGGTCTCATGTTACATCCCTTCTGGTCTCTCTTCACTGGCTCGCTAGAGGAACTCACATCAAGTTCAAGTCCTTGGTGCTGGCTTACATTAACGGACAGGCACCCATCTCCCTCAAGATGCTCCTCAAGACCTGCATCCCTCTTCAGTCAGCAAACCAGCACCACCTGGGGACTCTCCACCGCCTGAAGAGGTCCCCCCCCCCAACCCCACACCTCTCTATCTCCCCTGGCTGGTCTTTCGTGGTCGCTGAATGCCATCAGTGTTGTACTTTGTCTTTTGACTGCATTGCCCCATTAGTTTCTTGCTATGTTTGAAATGCATCGTGTAGCTCTTGCCCTGATGCTGCTCACAGCTGTAAAAAGTCTATCTTGAAAAATTGGCTTGGTTCCTTCTTATTTGTAATAACAAGAAAATTGGATTGATTGGCATCTGTATCATGTTGGCAGTTTACAAGCTTGTGTGTGAACGTACAGACAGACACAAACATGCTGTAATTATGACAATAATTGACAATTATGATAATATGACAATATGACAGTACTATTACATGATTTCTTTCACATACGACTGGTATTTATTATCTGTACAGACTTACAGACTTTCCCCAACGTACTAGGCTCGATTTGGACATACTGGTCATACATCAAAAAAAAAACTAAAAAAAAAAAAAATGAAACTTCATTCACATGTTTGAAATGTCATAAGACACATACATTGTATATCAGGGTATAACTCTCTGTATAGTCTGAATAGGTTTTCAGCATTTACACATTTATGGCCTATTTAGTATTTTTATCTATTATCAATCAATAATTACATATGCTTCAAATACTGCAAAATCTACAAAATATTTCTGTCCTTATTTTCATCCCTATGGGTTGCCTTCATGGCTTTGGAAATAAACTTGGCTGTTGCCATGGCAACAGTAGCCAATAATAGGCCTGTTTATAGACACTTAGGAGCAGCCATGTGCATATCAGAGGAGTCTTCCTTCCTGATGACCTAAATCAGCATCGCAGTGCCTTACAGGACCAGCGGTTCAAAATTATTAACAACGCAAACTCTATAGACTGACCCCCCCCCCCCTCCACCCCATTATTACATATTACAGTAAATATTAAAACATTCATTACACTGTAATCCTAAACATTTTCCATTGGTTGCTCATTTCAATGACATGTAGCCCTATTCAGCCTGTATCTTGAGCCTTCATTTGTGTAACTATTAACCTGGAGAGCTGATGCTCCTAAAGTGATGCTGACAAAAATGATGTTTTTAACAGCTTACAACAGGTGCGTCCTTTTCAGAAATACAAGTGAAATTACAACAGTGACTTGACTAAAATATGCGTAGGCTATACAGCTTTACAGAACTGTTTTACATGACATGTGTAACACAAACACTCCAGCAAAAGCCAGAACAAGAGCAGGAAAGTTTTCACTCTCATCGTGTCCTGAATGGCAGCTCCTGCCAACCCGAAAACGGAATGGCATCGATCAGCCTTTTTCTTCACCGTGTCGTTGTGTTCAGCTAATTGGAGACACACGCCTTCGTAGACAAACTATCAGACACTGATTTTTCCTTTTGCACAATCAAAAAGCTGGACATAAAAACAAATCATCTTTTTTACGGTATATACACAAGATTAGCTGATCAACAAGAACAATAACTCCTGGCTCATTCAATTTAGTGATCAGTGGTCATTGTTGACACACCACAGCACACAACAATGAAATGTGTCCTCTGCATTTAACCCATATGTGACATCATGACATAGTAGGGGGCAGCTAATTCAGCATCCGGGGAGCAGGGCTTGGGGGCGATACCTGGCTCAAGGTATCTCAGTGGTGTCTTGCTGGTCGGGAATTCAAACCTGCAATCTTACAATTCCAAGTGCGCTTCCCTAACCATTAAGCCACCACTGCCCACATTCAGATATATTGGCGAATATTGGTGAGTTTATCTTTCCTGATGGTTGAATTCATGTTCTGGTTGGTTAAACGTGCCTCAATTATCTATGTACTAAGAACGCACAAGATACATTACACTGAAGTCTATAAGCTTAACGAGGCAGAAAAAGTTTGCTTTCACTGAAGTTCCTTTTATTAACCTAAGTGTGGTGTTTTGCACAATACTTTGTCAGATATTTTTGGACAGCAGCATCATTTTGGGTTGGTCGCTGCGACCATACATTGGCATCGCCTGTTGTCTTACAGAAACCTGCCCTGGTTGACACTCCTGTCAGCAGCATCCAAGGTTACACGCCCCAAACTGTGCACAGAACCGTGCTCAGCAAAGAGAACGATGTCTGAGAAAGACATCTGTAAATGTGCAATGGCAATAAACTCAGAGTTATAAATACATTATAACTTAACAGGTACTGTAAGGATGTGAGAAGATAGTTGTAATTATTAGGATCCTGACCTAAATATGAGCTGATATTTTGACCTAGATCTCATCTGAAAAGTTCTCTGGCTGCAGGATCATTTACATTATTATTAGGTGGTACTTAATTTATATGAGAGATAATGTGTGAAAGTAAGATATTTTAATATCACCCCTGAGAAAATAAGAAGCTAATCAGTATGAGGTTCTGATCAGTATCACCACCCACAGGATCACAGTGCTCACGCTGAATCCAGGAACTGTTCTCACTTGGATTAAGAGACATATGTGAAAAGAACCTTGAGAATCTGAAGTGAGCATGTGAGTGCAGACATCAGCATCTTGGCAGAAAGTCATAAGACCTATGCACAGGCTGGAGAGTGCTGTGCTGTTTACGGGGGCGTGTGACAGCCCCAATCCAGGATTAGTTTATGGTTGTCCATTGAGACTGAATGTGACGGGGGTTGATGACATCCACTTCTGTCTTTATCGATGAATTCTTAGATGGCTGAATAATCCAATCCTGGACCCACAAATTCAGTGTAGGTGGGACATGTGTATGTGATGGTAGTGATAGTAACAACCATAGGTGTGTTCCTACTGAGTTTCCTTTGCTATCTTCCGGCTATCTTTTCCTCCTCTGGCATGCCATGGGTATGTTCCTCCTGAGTCTCCTTCACTGTCTCCGTGCTGTCCTTTCTTCCACTGGCATATCATGGGTGTGTTCCTCCTGAGCCTCCTTTGTTGTCTCCTGGCTGTCCTTTCCTGCTTATGCATGCCATGGATATGTACCTCCTGAGTCTCCTTCACTGTCTCCGTGCTGTCCTTTCTTCCACTGG